TCCACACCACTCCTTCTAAAGAATTATTATCTAACTATGTTTCTGGAAGGTTTGGAAAAGTTTACCTTGTAGATGGAAAACCTCTTGATGTTGTCGGAAGAGGTAATATTGACATCAGGACCTCCAACAGAACCCTATGGACATTGCACAATGTCAGACATATTCCTACCTTAAAAAGAAATTTAATATCTATAAGGCAATTGGATAATGAAGGGAATTACACCACTTTTGGAGATGGAGCTTGGAAGGTAACAAAAGGCAATCTCGTTGTGGCTCGTGGAAAGAAGCAAGGATCTCTCTACATGGTTGCAGATGAAGATATGGTAGTCGTTACTGAGGTTGTCAATAATTCATCCTTATGACATCAAAGGCTGGGACACATGAGTGAAAAAGGATGAAGCTTATGGCAACAAAGGGCAAGTTATCAAACTTGAAGTATGTTGATGTTGGTGTCTGCGAACACTATATCTTTGGAAAGCAAAAAAAGGTTAGCTTCTCAATAACAGGGAAGAATTCTAAAGTTGAAAAGCTAGAATTAGTACATACAGATGTTTGGGGACCAGCTTCGGTGAAATCTATTGGAGGATCACGCTATTATGTCACCTTTATCGATGACTCTACTATAAAGGTATGGGTCTATTTTCTTAAAAATAAATCCGATGTGTTTTCTGCATTTAAAAGGTGGAAAACATAAGTTGAAAATCAGACAAGTCTAAAGGTTAAAAGTCTGAAATCTAATAATGGCGGAGAGTATGATAGTCAAGAGTTTAAAGACTTCTTTCAGATCATGGGATCAAAATGATCAAGACAATACCAGGAACACCTGAACAAAATGGTATTGCAGAAAGGATGAACAGAACCTTATACGAGAGGTCTAGGTGTATGCGGATCCAATCTGGCTTGCCTAAAGTATTTTGGGCAGAAGCAATAAACACAACAATGCATCTCATCAATAGAGGACCATCAGTTCCTTTGAACTATCAATTACCTGAAGAAGTATGGTTTGGAAAGGAGGTAAAACTTTCACATTTAAGAGTTTTTGGTTGTGTTTCATACATACTGATAGACTCTAGTAACAGAGAAAAATTGGATCCAAAGGAAAGGAAATGTTATTTCATTAGTTATGGATCTGATATCTATGGCTACAGGTTTTGGGATGACCAAAACAAGAAAATCATCAGAAGTAGGAATGTCACTTTTAATGAGAATTTATTTTATAAGGATAGACTTTCTATAGAATCTGTGGGCGCTAATAAAGTGCCAGAACTTTCTAAGAAAGCAACACTTGAAGAAATTTTAGAAAGTGATATAGCCAATAGAAGCCAGAGTACAGGCGTAGAGGTTGAGTCAGAATCAGAACCATCAATTCCTCCAAGAAGATCTAGCAGAACGTCAATACCACCATATAGGTATTCTCCTTCATTGCATTATTTGTTGTTAACTGATGCTGATGAGCCATAACGTTTTAGTGAGCCTATGCAGGGGAATGACTCTATTGAGTGGGAGCTAGCAATGAAAGATGAAATGACATCCCTTCAAAAGAATGGAACGTGGTCTTTGACCAAGTTGCCAAAGGAAAAGAAAGCTTTACAAAACAGATAGGTCTATAGGTTAAAGGAAAAATATGATGGCAGTAGAAGATACAAGGCGAGACTTGTGGTGAAAGGGTTTCAGCAGAAACAAGGAATTGACTTCACAGAGATCTTCTCTCATGTTGTCAAGATGACCACCATCAGAGTTATCTTGAGTATCGTAGTTGCAGAGAATCTTCACTTGGAGCAGTTAGATGTCAAAAATGCATTCTTGCATGGAGATTTAGAGGAAGACATTTACATGACTCAACCAAAAGGTTTTGAAGTTTCAAGCAAGGAGAATTTTGTGTGCAAGCTTCATAAGAGTTTATATGGCTTGAAACAAACACCAAGGCAGTGGTACAAGAAGTTTAATGAGTTTATGAGTAACTCAGGATTCAACAGATGTAACATGAATCATTGCTGTTACATTAAGAAATATACTAACAGTTATTTTATCCTTGTTGTGTATGTTGATGACATGTTGATTGTAGGGTCTAATATGGCAGAAATCTACATGTTGAAGCAGAAGTTGACAAAAAACTTTGAAATGAAGGATCTTGGTCCAGCTAAACAAATCCTTGGTATGAGTATTTTCATAAATAGATAAGAAGGAATCTTGAAGCTGCTCAGGAGAAATATGTACACAAGTTGCTTGACAGGTTTTGCCTTAAAGATGCCAAGACCAGGAATACCCCTTTGGGATCTCATTTGAAGTTTTCAAAGAGGCAATATTCACAAACATATGAAGAAAAATGTTACATGTCAAGAGTACCATATGCATCAACAGTTGGGAGCTTGATGTATGCTATGGTATGTACCAGACCTGACATAGCACATATAGTGGGAGTTGTTAGTAAGTTCCTATCAAATCCAGCAAAGGAGCATTGGGAAGGTGTAAAATAGATTCTCATATATCTGAAGGGTACATCAAAGATGTGTTTGTGCTTCAAAAAAGACGATCTCATCTTACAAGGATTTTCAGATGCAGACTTGGGAGGAGATTTAGATACTCGAAAAAGCACCATTGACTACATTTTTACTTTGGGAGGTACAGTTGTGAGTTAAAAGTCTAAACTTCAATAGTGTTGCACTCTCAACCACCAAAGCTGAGTACATAGCCATCTTAAAAGCAGCTAAGGAGATGATTTGGCTATAGAATTTTCTCAGTGAATTAGGGAAAGAACAAGGTGATACTCCATTATTTAGTGATAGTCAGAGTGTTATATGTCTTGCTAAGAATCTCGTCCTCCATTCTAGATGCAAGCATATTCAATTAAAATATCATTTTATCATGGAGTTGATAAATGATGGAGAGTTGTCTTTACTGAAGATCTCAGGATCAGAGAACCTAACAAATATGTTAACTAAGACTGTCACTACTGACAAGCTGAGGCTTTGCATTACCTCAGTTGGCCTTCGAGAATAATTGAAGACGAAGGCGTTGCACTAGGGAATGAGCTGATGAGCTTAATGCTTAAAAGAAGCTGATGTAGTTTGGAACTTAGACCCCAAGTGGGAGAATTGTTAGAGTTTTCTGGTCTTAGTTCAAAGTCTCACATCTCTTAGTTTATAAAGACTAGTGTCTCATTAAGTGTTATATATAGAGACACCTTGTAAGCTTCAAAATACACCAACACAAAGTTTTCTAGTGTAACCGTGGACGTATATACATACATTCTGTGTCGAACCATTCTCTTTTCTCCTTAGTTCTAACATTATTATTGCTTTAGTGGAACAAAATTTTCATTTAAATCTATTAATTTATTATGGTTAAAAAAGATAACTATAAATTTGAATAGAAAGATTATGATTAGTTACGTTGATTTAAGTAAAAAGTCTCTTAATACACTTTTTATGCAAGAGTGAAGAAAAATGAGATAAAAATCATGTTATTCATGTTAAATCTCCAAAATATCATCCTGTATTACAGTAAACAAGTACATCTAAGATGCTCAAATTTATTACACACGTAATACTTTTAGTAAATTATTTATAAATTTTAATATAAAATCTTAAGAAACATGTCTAAATATTACATCTTATTAAATTTAACAAATGTATACAAAATAGTAAATAAAAAAATAAAAAATTTAAACAAATAAAATTTTAAAGTTTTAAAATCTTTATCTAATAACTTTGACAAAATTGTTTTATTTTTTTAAGTAGAAAAATAAACATAAATTTAAAAAATTAGTTCTATTTTTTTTTAATTTATACTAAATAATTCTAAAATCAACATAATAATTATCCAAATTAAACTTAGTCATATATTACTTTACTAAAATATAGCAAAGATAACATAGAAAGATATTTATACCAATATTAAATGATTTTTACTTAAGTTACATTATTAAAAAAAATACATAAAGATTCAATACTAAATTACATTATTTATTTAAATAATTTATTTTTAATAAATTATTAATATTATTTTAAATTTTAAAAATAATGATTTCATATTTAATCATATATTTTCGATTTACTAATCTATATAAAATTATATAAATAAGAATTACGTTATAATTAAAAAAATCTTTAATCTAATGTTATTTATAAATTATTACAAAAATATAAGTATTTCTATAAAATATCATAAATTTATTTATAATATATAAAAAATAATTTTATTTTGTATTAATTTTTATCCAGTTTATTAAATAATTATTTTATATTAAATTAGGTCTTAAATTTAATTTATTCTATTAAAATTAAAATAAATATTTTAATTTGTTATTAATTTATCTCATAATTTATTTATTTAATCAAATCATATCACTTATAATAATAATATTATTATTTTAATCCTCTTTTCTTCCGTCTAAACAATTTAATTTTTCTTTTATATTTTTTTCTCTATTTCTCCATTCTTTCTCCAGTCTATTTATCTCCAAAGACAAGTGTTCTGTGTAAGGGTTAGCAGTTAAAGAAAGAAACAATCTCTGACACGTTACAAACTTCAGGAAAACTCAACTTTGTAGAATCTCTTCAGTAATTTTACCTATTAAAGTCAAAAGTTACATGAAATCACGTGAGTATTCTAAGAGTTACTATAAATTTTATATTTCCACATTATTATTATTATTTTTTCAAGTAAAAAAAGAAAAAAAAAACTTTTTTTATTTAGTTTAAAGCCCTCAGAGCTTGATAGGACTAGATTTCTCTTCTAAAAAAAGGGTAAATCTAAACGTCGTTTTAGTAGCAGAAGCAGTAAAGAAACGACATGTCGTTCCCCGTCCCCGCGTTATCATTTCCCAGTGTTCCCGTGACAGTTAAAAAGCCAAGAACGCGTTGTCGCATTGAATGTGCATTCATACCGCGAAACGAACCGCTCACCGTCACCGGCGCTCCGGCAATGTGACTGGAAACGGAATAATCGCCGCCGTTTCTCATCCAGTTCCTGCCACGGCTTGAACAGAAGATTCAACAATGTCTCACGCCACAACGCAATCGCAGAACATAAAGCAGAGGGTCCTCGCGTGCCTGACGAAGCTCTCGGACCGCGATACACAATCCGCTGGAGCCACTGAACTCGAGTCCATCGCTCGAAGCCTGGACCCGCGCTCGGTTCCACTGTTCCTCTCCTGCATTCACTCCACTGACGCCTCCGACAAAACCCCCGTCCGCAAACAATGCGTGCACCTCGTGGCCACGCTCTCCCACGCGCACGGCGACACACTATCGCCGTTCCTCTCCAGAATTCTCGCCAACCTCGTGCGCCGCCTCCGCGACCCTGACTCTTCTGTACGGGCTGCCTGCGCCGAATCCGTCGGCGCGCTATCGGCGCGCGTCACCCGTCAGCCGTTCTCCTCTTTCCTGAAGCCGCTTGCGGAGGCGCTATTCACGGAGCAGGACCCAAACTCGCAGGCCGCCGCCGCTCTCTGTCTCGCCTCCGCCGTCGACGGGGCTTCGGATCCTGACCCAGCCAGGCTCGCCAGGCTGCTCCCGAGGTTCGAGAAGCTTCTCAAGAGCAAGGTGTTTAGGGCCAAGCCCGCGCTGCTGGTGCTCGTTGGAAGCGTCGTCGAGGCTCGCGGCGCGTCGAGTCGCGGCGCGTTGAGGAATTTGGTTCCCTGCCTTGTGGAGGCGCTCGGCAGCGTAGACTGGGCCACGAGGAAGGGCGCGGCGGAGGTGTTGAGGAAACTCGCGGTCGCGGAGAGGGACCTTCTATCGGAGTTCAAGGGTGGATCTTTCAAAGTGCTCGAGGATCGGCGATTTGATAAGGTTTTTTGAAGATTTTACTGTTTCTTCCTTTTTTCCACTCTTTTGTTCTTTGTTGACTTATGGTAATCTGAAAGGAGTTTTTAAATTGAAGCTGTGTTTAGCACCAAACACGTCCATAAGCTAGTGCGACATCGTTTCAGTTTAATTAGTGATCTTATTCGGCATGATCAGATTGTTATTTGTGTAGATGTTTGTCGTTTTATAAAAAAATTGGAGTTGCAGTTACTGAAATCGTGAGCAAATGCGGTTGTTCTGATGATCTTATGATATTGTCATTTCTGGAATATTGTTTAAAATTAGATTGAGTTTTTGTCTTGATTGTATGCAGGTAAAGTTGGTTCGGGAAGTTATGAATCAGATGTTGGATGCGTGGAAGCAGATTCCTGATGTTTCGGATGAATTCTCTCCACCTCCTCTCTCGCAGTCTTCTTCAAAGGGTATTTATTTATTTATTTATATGTAGTCATCTACTGTTTGTTTGGATTTGTTACCACTTTGATCGGCAAGTGTCAGATCAGTTTGTGTGAATTCGATTTGGAAACTCCGATATTGAGTCTTAAAAAGAAAATCATGTAAATCAAGTCTGTGGACTTGTGGCTGATGTAGGTTATTTGATCCAAGAGATTTTTGTGTAGATTTTCTTGGCCATTGATTGTTTTTGTCTTTTGATTCAGAGAATGCAAGTGATGGGCGCTATCCTCCAGTATCTCAAAATTCATGTAGTCCGGGTTCCGTAATGAGTAAACTGAGGAAGAAATCGAGCCCGATCAGCAAATCAACTCCATCAGATAGATCTGTTGCTAGGAATGCTAATAAGTTGAGTGCCTTAAGTAGTGATCGGACGAGTTCGGGTGTTTTGCAGAAACTGAACCATAACCATTGGGATGTTCGAATTGCTGTGTCAAATGTTCCTGATCGAGGTGAATGTCAGCAGAGGGATGAAAATGTTTTAGAAAACAGCAAAAAGGATAAAAGCAGATTTTTCATGACAGAAACTAAACGGGCTCTATTCGATAAAAGTTCTGATGAGAAGATGCATAAATTTGGTGGGTCCAAAGCTGGATCTCGTGTGGTTCCTTGTTCAGAAGAGAATCAAGACTCAGGTGCTGTCTGTAATGTAGCAAAGGATCTTCCCAGGAATGACAAAGAGAGTGAGGAATTATCTTTGATTCGTGCCCAGTTAGTTCAAATTGAGAAGCAGCAGTCAAGTCTGTTTGATCTTCTACAGGTTTGTTCCATATGCTTTAAAAACACTTTCCATGGACCAAGTTTTTAAATCTGTTTAGGTCAACTGAGGTTAGCAAAGAAGGCTTACTGGTTATCATCCATGCTGTGTATAAATTTCTCCTTTTTTGTATGTATGTGTGTGTATATGTAGCTTGTGTCGAAGGGCGAGCATGTCTGACACTATCCACCATGTTTTTACAGAAATTCATTGGGAGCTCAGAAAATGGAATGCGTTCTTTAGAGACTCGTGTGCATGGCCTCGAGTTGGCATTGGATGATATCTCGTATGATTTGGCTGTAACTAGTGGAAGGATGACTAAATCTGATGCTCCCAAAAATACATGTTGTCTGCTACCTGGTGCCGAATTTTTAAGCTCCAAATTCTGGAAAAAAACACAGAGCCGGTATCCATCCTACCGATTCTCTAGAACTGGTAGCACTCCATTACTAGCTTCCAGTCATTACAGACCTAATAGGAACACCGAATCTATTGCAACAAACCACAGATTTGGGGTCCATGGTGATGGAAGCTTCATCACAAATCCTCTTGCAGAGATTAAAATTAATTCAAGGGAAATTTCAGGATCTGCAAGATCAGAGCTAGCTTGAAAAGCAGGTTCGGTTTCTAAATTCAGTAGTTTGTAACCGCCATTAGTATGCACTATGACCTTATGTATGGGTGTTGGGAATGCTACGTCCCTTCTTCATATATGCTTTTGCATAAATTCTAATAAGGAAAGGCATCACACTAATCATACACAAAGTTTTGCATGGTTTGGCCAACACACTTCGGTCCACGGATGAGAGGTCAAATTCACTATTAAAATAAGATTACAAAGTATTGTTTGCAGGGCACTTCCAATTTCCTCAATCTACAATCATCCTCTCGCTATCCTTGGAGCTGAACATATCTTATGAAGGTCTAGAGCCCTTGAATCCCAGAGAATTTGCTTGATACTTCCTTTAGAACTAACATGCCAAATTTAGAGGAAACTGATTCTCTATGCTTGGTGGCACACAATAACTATTTATCATTCGCCGTAAATGGCAGGAATGCTGAAACTAAGTAAACAAGTTACAGATTTAGGGTACATGATGACGGAGGGCTTCATCGCTAAACCTCAGATTAACACAAATTCAAGAGGGATTTCTTTCCTTTCGAGGACTGAACCAATTTTAAAAAGTAGTTTCGCACACTTCGTGTGGCAATATATACCTCCATTTACTAGGCAATCGCTTTGGCTTGGTTGGGAAACATCATACTTCGTATCTCCTATATTCACATGTTTACTGGTAATTAAGGAAAAACATCACACGCGATGTGTACGTGACACTAAATTCTTCCATCATACAGCTCTCTTCTTGTTGTTCATATTTCTCAAAACCTTGTGAAAGCTTAACAATGGATCTTTTATATGAGATTCTCTTTCTCCCTCTCATGAATGTGATGCTTCAAATTATTCAATACATGGATTTTTTTTCATGACTTCCATCTTTACACCCTTGATATTAATTAAAGACTTGTCTTTCTTACTAGAATCAAATCTCTCAAATTCTTCCCCATATCATCAGATATTTTAATAATAACTATAATATTTTAATCAACTTGTAATTAAGAAACTATCAATAATAACATTTAAATCAGAAATTATGGTTGAACACATCAACTTACAATTTTTGAACTCACTACAAAAATATTGCAATCTTTGAGAACGGTGATACTGGTTAATGCCAACCCATTTGCTTTTTTCTTTGTGTTCTAATTATTACTCTGTTCTACCATCTAATGCTGTCTGCTCTCTTTCCCTTTTCTTACTTCGTAGCAGATGTAAGTTTGATCTTCAGACTATCAACTTGCTTGGTGGACAAAGCCCTCCCCCAAAGAAGTGTGTCAATGATGTAATCAGAATATATATTTTTATGCAGGGAAATATGGAATATTCGGAAAATACCCAGTATTACAATACTCTCTTGGAAGGAGATGGCTAATCATATCATTCTCCATCTCGTTCAAAATTTTCATTTGGAATGCTACGAAGATAGTAGGGTAGGAACATATTGGAGTGAGTAAGGGCTGAATATTACTATTTTCAGTAGGGAGTGAATATGTACAAAGGAGGAACAATGTCACAGGCTACTTTGTGCTTCGAACTACGTTTGAAAGACAATAAATCACATCAAATGGGTAAAATATGCAAAAGCTATAAATGTGTGCCTGCAAACGCATGGTTTTTTTTTCTTTGCTTTCAAAATTGTGTTGAGAATGATAAAATATGATATTTTGGTTGTTAGTTTAAAAATAAGACTAAAAATATAAAGCTGATATACACGTCAAACACATTCAAGGTTTTATTTTGCAATCTTTCCAATTGTGTCAGAAAGATCCCATTGATCCAATTTAACTAACCCATTCGGCACATTTTAAGTAGTTATTATTAAATTTTGAATTATTTTCTAAAATAGAATAATCGTGACTTCTAAAGTGAAGTAGTAACACAATTTATTATGAAATAATTATTTTAAAGATGAGGAAAATTAAATAAAATAGAACTCACAAGTTATTATACGATTTTAGTTGTTATTGTTTTAGGTATTGCAGTTATCTCACTTATCTCCTATAAGAGTATACAGAATATTATTTACAGTTTTTTAGTTTTCATATTTATATTTACATTTTTTCATGTTTATAATAATCTAACATTCAGATCTCATATATTATAAATAAAGTGACATTCATTTTCTTTATTTTAGGGTTAAGAAAATTAAAACTTAAGTTTTAAAATATAAAAAGTAAAAAAATAATTCTATGAACACAAAAAATAAAAAATTATTAAATGTATATCAAAGTTCATTTTAGAGATTTAACTTCACCACATTAATTTCTTGATCATTCTATTCGTTTGGAAATGAAGTTTTAAGAATATGGAATACATTATGCAAAATCCATTCTAAAACGAATACATATGATTAAAAAAAGTGATAATTGATTTGATATTGAATTTTGTAATGAGTGTGATGTATGGTCTAGAACACCTGCAAACTCTTTGCTTCTTTAACCCAGTAGTCTGATACAGGCCTGAAATTGTTGTGTATAATCAATGATTATGTGTGTGCTTTAATTTTTAACTATTAAGAAAACTGCCTCTCACTCCTTTTTATTCAATTCCTTCAGAAAACATGTACATTATTTATTGGACGAATCCTTTCATTCATATTAAATTTATTACACTACTTGCATGTATGGATCCAAGCACGATAAAAAACAAAAAAAACTACCATCAACCATTAACAAATTACAACTAACTGAAAACAAAGAAATTTATATTCAATAATAAGAGGATTGTTCGTTCCATGTTCCATGTTCCATGTTAGAACAATAACTTTCTACCTTCTGTCATTCCTCGTTCCTCAGAAGTAAGCTTTTGTTTCTGGATTCGTACATTTTCTTTATAAATTTTGATCTAAAACTTAACTTTAATAAAAGTAATCAGAGGAGGTTAATAAAATAAATAAAGTCAGGCTGATCTCTATTCCTCTTCACTTTGATATAAAGATAAAAAATCAAGTGAGTGGAAATATAAATAAATTTATTTTTAAATATAAATAATAAATCGATCTATTTAAATTAAATAAATTTAGAAAAATGTTATTTTAATAATATTTTTAAATATATTATTTAAATTAATCTTATAAATATTATATTTTAAAAGAATTTTTCTCCCTTTTTCTCCTAATTTTTTCTTTATTTTTTCTTTCTCCTTATTTTTTTTGTTCTCTTATTCTCTACTTAAAAATATTATATTAAAATTTAATAAAATATATTAAATTAATTTTTTAAAATCAATATTAAAATTAAAAAAATATCAAATAATTATTTAAAATTATGATAAAAGTAAATAATTTTCTTTTATTTATGGTGATATAAATAATTAATTTAAAACTATTTCATCATAATAAATTAATTATTCATATAATTAAAAAATATCATAAGTTAAATGTATTTTTTATTTAACTATTTAATCTAATTATAATTAAGTTGAATTATGATGATTAGTCATATTAAATAATTTCAAAATAAAAAATAAAAAATAATTTTAAAATAAATTATAGCATAATAATATTTATAATACCTTTAAAAGTTATCGTATAACATTTGTTTTTAAATATAATATATTAAATTAAAATATTTTTAGATAATTTAAATATTTTTATATTACATAAATAATAAAAAATAAATTTAACAAATATTAATATAATATCTTTAATTAAAAAAATAGAATGAAAGAAGAGAAGAATAAATAAGAAGAAAGAAAAAAGAAAAATAAATACTAAAAAAAAATTGTTCAGTGTCAATGTACGATGAAAATAGAATAATTTGAATCAGCACATTTCCAAGTTTCTGATTCCATTCATCGATAAAAGATTGTTATTTTTCTTTGCTGAATAATAAACGACTTTTAGATTTTCATATCCTTTACCTCCTATCGTATGATTAATTATCATGAATGTTTTTAAAATTACACTAATCACTGAATCTATGAAATAGAATAAAAAATGGATCATTTTTAAAATAAAATAAAAAAATGATATTTTTTATAAAAAAAATTGTATTTAATTTTTAAAAATTTTGATCTTTAATTTTTTTTTAACCAAAATTCGAATATCAAAATCTAGTTGAGTTTTAAATTTTAATGGTTTTATATTAGTTTTCGATTTTATATCAATTAAATTAAAATATAATTATTTAGAACCAATAGATTTACTCAATTAGATTGATTGAATTACTGGTGTGATCCCATTTTCAAAATAAAGTGATTATTACGAGCAAATAATAGTAATATATATATATATATATATATTTCGTATATAAACTAAATGCTATAGTTGAAACATTTTTTTAAAAAGCAAATAATTTAAACTTCAATAAAAAGAAAAAAAGACATTTTAACTTAGACATTAATTAATAAGAGTATTTGATTTTATGATGTAGACATATTTGAAAATGGTGTGTTAGTTTAGTAAAAGAAGAAATGAAAGTTGGTGAAGGACATTGGCCATGCAAAGAAAGAAAGAGGGCTTATCAACTTTGAGACAAGATTCTCCAAATCCTTCCCTGTAATCCATTCTCTGGAGTGAAGAATTGTGAGGGATTGAATAATGAAAAGGATGATCTTCCATTCCCAATACTTCTCTACCACTAACCAAACTATCCATCAATCACTCTTCATTTCCCATTTTCCTTTCTCACCAAAACATTATAATATACTTCTTTCTAAACTTATTCTCTTCAATATCTTAATCTAACTTTTCTACTCAAAACTTATTATCTCACCAATTAAAATAGTTTAAGTGAGTTGCGTGTTCAAAACCTTTTACGTCAACATTTATCTCACCAATTAAAGAGCACTAACAACATTATTGTATTCATATTTAAATTAAACCCACAAGTCTTTATGGACGTAATATATTTTTTTAAATTTTATTTATTTATACATGTTTAAATTATCTAATTTTAATACATATAATTATTAAAATACTAATATCATATAGTTTAATGGCTATGTATTTCTCAAATTTGTACTACAAAACATATACTACTAGAATTTTCT